GGTCATTCACCATATTATCACTTAGAATTTCAATACAAAAATTCCAGTATTGAAATTATTACCATTCAAATGCTTTTACAAAAGCATAATTACATTTAAATACCCAAACTATGCAAATGTTGTGCTTAAATCACAAATCTTTTCAAACTTCCAAAATAGTCATATTTCACATCTAACACTCATTTCAATTCCCAAACAATAATTTCCAACATAGTACATCAATTATATAACACTTACACAACAACCTATCAATTTTCCATATTCAGACAACTCGCACTACCTTTAAAGAATCAGTATTATGTATTGATATACACACTGAAATTTAATTCCGTTTACTCTGTTGAAAACTAGACTCGAATACGAATCTATCCATATAAATAAATCCTTCTAATTCATTATGTACAATTTATGGTGAATTTTCAAAGTTGACCAACAGAATCTGTTTTGCAGAATCTGCTGTTCAATTTTTTTTCTGACCTTTCCTTGGTTGAAAATTCATATATTTTTGTATACACCTTGAAATTGATCCCCGTTTATTTTTAAAAAAACTAGATTGATATATGAACACAAATATATAAAAATAACCTCCAAATTTGTTTTAAATAGTTTCTGGTGAATTTTCAAACCCACTGCTAATTTCAAAATATAAATTGTTTTCTTTAACCTCATCCTTAGGTTCTTCATCAATTCTTACAACCAATTCTTTAAAATCACTTAACTCTTCATAAACCATAAAACACAAGAAATCAACATCCCCTTCATCAACTCAAGATGAATTTGAACACTAACAATATTATCATGCAATATTGGTACCAAATAATAGCGTTTTTCGCATATAACAATTTTCTATTTTCAGCATACTCAAAATCCTAAGGAAATTGCTTGAAAATTGAATTGAAGCTTTCTCTTACCTTAGGAGAAAATCCATACAGCTTTGGAGAAGAAGATGAGCAATTTGGATGAAATGTTGGGTACATTTCATCTTTGTTTAAATTATATTCCACTATAAATTAATATAATATTCATTTAATTGGGATAAGACCAAATCACCCTTAATGAATCTTCTTATTCACCATAAAACCATGACAACTCATCCTTATCATATTTCAAAGTTAAAGCTGAATTATTTTGACTTTCATTTCCGAAATTTCCCCTGAAATTTTCAAATCCTACGTTTTAGTCACTAAATTCCACTGTTTCAGTTAAATCTGAAAAATTGCACATTTCCAAACCAAATTTCTCTGATCCAAAATATTAAAAATAATATTTCCAACCATTTTATAACATCCTTCAAATTTTTATAAAATTCCAATTTGATCTAAATTTCCGATTCCTTGCCGGCTTTAACCCTTTATAATTTTTTTTACTAAAATTCCAAATCCAAAAATATTATTTCTATAAAACCCCACTCTCAAGAATAAACTATCTATTTATGGAATATAATTCTTTTTAGGAAATTTATCACTTAATTCCCTAAACTTTTTCCCAATTTTCTACTTTGCCCATCAAACTTTCAAAATTTTTCATTTTGGTCATTGTCTTAATTTTCGGGGTATTAAAATAGGACTGATATATCATGAACGAATTTGATTTTTTTACATGTTTTGAAAATTTTACAGTTGAATCTGTATTGAATTATAGCTTTAGAAGATAATTTTACATGCACGTAACTCGAAAAGCATCATGACATGATAGTTTATTTGGAGCAGCTACTTGATATGTTGCCAGATCATTGCACATTTGCACCTTCATTTTTGGCATATATATGTTTGTTGCAGTGTCCTCTAAGTTTTACAATATTTTTTATTGCTGACATGTCATGAATTTACAAGAATTATGGGGTTCTATGATTTTAGTTCCGATATCTGTTTTAGATTCTCATCATGTTTGACTATTGAGGAACATTAAACATGGAGCATTAGAAGAAATTATATGTTAAAAGGGTAGGTCATTGATGCATTTGCAACTGGTAATGTTGTATTTGATATCTAATGTTTATCTTAAACAACCCATTTGACGCCTTAGCTTTTGGAGTGACAATGATCGAACCTCTTTCCCTTTATTTATTAAGTCCTCCTTTTGAATGAGTTATTAATTGATATTCTTGGTTTATTTTAATTATTACTTGGTTGTATGTTGTAGTCCTATGAACTAAAACTCTCTTATATTTTCGCAGCCGTTGGATGTGCATGCTCAAGTTCCATCCAAACCTATTGGATTGTTATACCAAAGTGCGACAGCTACAAAAAATACAATTTGGCCTTGTTACTTTTACTTCACAGGTTTATGCAATAAACATGGTAGATACACTTTTAATGTTCAAAGTGCAACAGCCGTTAGATGTGCATGCAATAAACCTCAAATTTATATTAAAGTAAACACTATCAAATAGCAAATTCATGTTCAAAATTCCAAAACACTTCAATTACATTCTAAACCTTAAATTCTAAAATACTTTAATTACATTCTAAACCCTAAATTAAATTATTTTAGAATTTAGGATTTAAAATATAATTGAATTATTTTAGAATTTAGGGTTTAGAATGAAATTGAGGATTGTGTTGCAAGTTTTAAAAGTTGGGGGACCTAAATGCAAGCATCTGAAAAGTTCAGTGACAATATTGCAAACGAACTAAATGTTGGAGGACTGCCGCATCATCTTCTTCTAACGGCAGTGTAACGGCGTCAAACAGCCGGTTACGTCGGAGACCATATTGCAAACGGAGTAAATGTTAGAGGATTGTATTACAAGTTTTAAAAGTCGGGGACCTAAATGCAAGCTTCAAAAAAGTTTAATGACCATTACTATACTTTACCCATTATTTTATTCTAAATTTATTCTATTCCATATGGCAAGCCAAACTGAAGTACATCCAAAATATTAAAATAATATTTCCAACCATTTTATAATATTCTTCAAATTTTTGTAAAATTCCAATTCGATCTGAATTTTCGATTCCTTGCCAGCTTTAACCCTTTATAATTTTTCTTTACTAAAATTTCAAATCCAAAAATATTATTTCTATAAAACCCCACTCTCAAGAGTAAACTATCTATTTATGGAATAAAATTCTTTTTAGGAAATTTATCACTTAATTCCCTAAACTTTTTCCTAATTTTCTACTTTGCCTATCAAACTTTCAAAAATTTTCATTTTGGTCATTATCTTAATTTTGGGGGTATTACGATGGGACTGATATATCATGAACGAATTGGATTTTTTACATGTTTTGAAAATTTTATAGTTGAATCTGTATTGAATTATAGCTTTAGAAGATAATTTTGCATGCACGCAACTCGAAAGGCATCATGACAGGATATTATATTTGGAGCAGCTACTTGATATGTTGCCCGGTCATTGCACATTTGCACCTTCATTTCTGGCATATATATGTTTGTTGCAGTGTCCTCTATGTTTTACAATATCTTTTATTGCTGACATGTCATGAATTTACAAGAATTATGGGGTTCTATGATTTTAGTTTCGCTATCTGCTTTAGATTCTCATCATGTTTGCCTATTGAGGAACATTAAACATGGAGCATTAGAAGAAATTATATGTTAAAAGGGTAGGCCATTGATGCATTTGCAACTGGTAATGTTGTATTTGATATCTAATGTTTATCTTAAACAACCCATTTGACGCCTTAGCTTTTGGAGTGACAATGATCGAATCTCTTTCCCTTTATTTATTAAGTCCTCCTTTTGAATGAGTTATTAATTGATATTCTTGGTTTATTTTAATTATTACTTGGTTGTATGTTGTAGTCCTATGAACTAAAACTCTCTTATATTTTCGCAGCCGTTGGATGTGCATGCTCAAGTTCCATCCAAACCTATTGGATTGTCATACCAAAGTGCGACAGCTACAAAAAATACAATTTGGCCTTGTTACTTTTACTTCAACGGTTTATGCAATAAACATGGTAGATACACTTTTAATGTTCAAAGTGCAACATCCATTGGATGTGCATGCAATAAACCTCAAAATTATATTAAAGTAAACACTATCAAATAGCAAATTCATGTTCAAAATTCCAAAACACTTCAATTACATTCTAAACCCTAAATTCTAAAATACTTTAATTATATTCTAAACCCTAAATTAAATTATTTTAGAATTTGGGATTTAAAATATAATTGAATTATTTTAGAATTTAGGGTTTAGAATGAAATTAAGAATTGTGTTGCAAGTTTTAAAAGTTGGGGGACCTAAATGCAAGCATCTGAAAAGTTCAGTGGTAATATTGCAAACGGACAAAATGTTGGAGGACTGCCACATCATCTTCTTCTAACGGCAGTGTAACGGCGTCAAACGGCCGGTTATGTCGGAGACCATATTGCAAACGGAGTAAATGTTGGAGGACTTTATTGCAAGTTTTAAAAGTTAGAGACCTAAATGCAAGCTTCATAAAAGTTCAATGACCGTTACTATACTTTACCCATTATTTTATTCTAAATTTATTCTATTCCATATGGCAAGCCAAACTGAAGTACTGCAGCACCAGCAGACGAAGTAAACGAGGCGAGGATAATGAAAACCAGAAATCAATAAAATAAAAAAATCTCTGCCTGACTCTCTTCAAAGTCTCGAGAAAGAGACAAAACATAGAGGGAGAGAGGAACCAACAAACAACGTTAATAGTCGTGTCTTTTGAGTATGTCAATCAAATTATCCAACCTCCCATTCATTCTTGTATTCTCTCTCTTTCTTTCTTTTCTGGTTTCATGATTTCAGGGCCTCTGTGTTGACTTGATTCTAATCTCTTTATCTCTCCCAACCATCTCCAGAAGCTTTAGATTTTTCACTTCCATTATTTTCTTTATTTCTGGTCAGAATAAAAAAGAAATCCGAATCCCATATTTTTTCTGGAAGGAGATTCCAATTCTGCTGTTCTTTTATCCCGTCTCTCGCTCGACATGTCTTGTGGCTTCAAGGTAAGAAATGGAAAATGCATATCAACCCAGATTTTGTTATACCATACTTGTATTGTTTTAATGGTGTTGTTTCTTCTTCTTTTTGTGTTGATATAATAACTATACATTTACCTGCTTTTTAAGCTTTTTCCTCACTTTCCATTGTTTTTGAGGGAAATGGGTATATCTTTGTAACTCCATATTTGGAACAGCAGCTGAAGAAATTGATTCCTAGTTCCTTAATATTCCCTTTTTTACACCAAAATTTGTTTTCCTTTCCTGTCTCTATTTTCTTTTTAATTATGTCTTTTTAGATTTGGGTATATGATTTTGTGGGGGTCTCTCAAAATAAGAACTTTGGTTTAAAATTTGCTTTTTGTGGGGAAATCAGTGATTTTTCCTCTTTAAACACAAAAACAAAACCAAATTTCTGTGTTTTTGTGCGTGCTTAATACATTGTCTTTTATTATGCACACACACTCTTAATATCTTCTTGGTTGCTAAGAAATGTGAAGAACGGCAAAGGAAAATAATTTAAGCAGTAATTTTATCCAATTCCGGACTGCTAAAACTCTTTGACTTAAGCTTCCTTTGGTGAATGTTGTGCCTCCTATAATACAAATTAGAAATCTATGGTCCTAAAACTTCAGTTCACCTTTCTTTTGCATTCATTTTCTTCTCAACCAAATAGGGACCATGTTGTTCCATGCCTTTCCTTGTTGCATTTTTATTATTTCCTTACAATAATGAATGTCACTTTTATCCTTTCATCTGTCCTAATTTGGATGTGTTATGCAGGAATAACACTGGTTTTGATTGAACTGTGGAATGGAAGGTAATATATATCAAGGGTTTGGTAATGGAACTCAAGTGGATGGCAAGGTTTTGCAGACATTTCAAAAGAGTTTTGTGCAAGTCCAAGACATCCTAGACCAAAACAGGCTGCTAATCAACGAGATTAACCAAAATCATGAGTCCAAGATCCCCCATAACTTGAGCAGGAATGTCGGGTTGATTAAAGAGTTGAACAACAACATTAGAAGAGTAGCCAATCTCTACGCCGATCTCTCGAGCTCTTTCACCAAGTCGATGGAGCCATCATCCGAAGGCGATTCGGCCGGGATGTACGAACCTGATGGAAACGTTAGTCAGAAGAGAATTAGATCCGAGTAAATTTTATCAAGCTAAGCCTTTTGTTATGAATTATATTATCTTCCACTGTGGAATATTGAAATAACATCCTATGAGATTTACCGTTGTAGTGATGTACAACTATGTTAGTATCTTGTTTGAAATCAAAGCATTACTTGTTTAACATCAGCAAATCGTGGCCTGAAACCAGTGGATTGTCTTCACTTTTTTGTTTGTTTAATAAATGAGATAGGGTTATCTTATCTGTACTTGGTCTGCTTTTTTAATTGTTTATTTAATGAGGCTAGTGTGATTGCTTAACTGTCACTAAATGCTTTTTCTAGTTTAATTTTCATTTGTCAAGAGAGTTGATCTGCCTTTGATGGTAACTTTCGACAATCAAACTTTATTCTTCTCCCATGTTTGTCAAAAAGAGATTCTTGATTGCTCCTTGCAAGTATAGGGTTGGTATATACTGTTTAAAACCCTTTTTGAACGTTCTTTTAAGTTTGGAAGATCCTTTTGTGGTTGAGACGCTGTAGGCAAATGTGAAAACTCCTTGTTTTCTGGCATCTTCATAAGCCAGAAGCAGATTTTATAGTTTAGGACATAAAAAAAATGGAGATCAATTATTGTTTCTGTGACAGCAAGGACAAAACCAGACCGAAACTGTCTGAAACATGTGATGATAATTGAAAGAAAAGTTAGGCCGATTAGCACTGTCAGCCTGGTAATCCTTTTGGGGTACTTTTGTGAATTCCATTCCTGATTTAACTTAACAATTCTTCAATCAACCATTGCCTCAAGCGTGAATCATGTTCTGAGGCAAATGATATATCCAAAGTATTAATCTCAGATATTGCTTTTAAGAGCGGCATCTTAATGATGACTGAATAGATTATATTCCAAAGATAACAAATGGAATCTGAAGGGCTTTTAAGTTCTAATTGATTTTATATTATCAAGTTTTGTTTTAAAAGTGCTAGCCATGTTATACATGGAGCATATATTAATCTTAATCCGGTTCAGGGTTAAGCTGGATTTGTTATTCAAAGAAACAAATAAAAGCTATATTTGTTTTGAATAAATGCAAACACAGTGGAAGATGCATCCGGTATGGACAAGTCAAGTCTCCACATGAAAGAGAGGAATCCGACAATAAAGAATGTAAGATTGTGTCCGTACTCCATTGTGTCATTTCTTAGTATATGTTCTCTTTTATTTTTTTTATTGCACTAAAAGAAGAGATCATATTTGTTAAATGTTGGCATCACATTGTTGAAATTCTAATATTTTAAGCAGATAAGATCATATATATTTTTATAATATTTTAAGCAGTTCTTAACGTTTAGATCTACCCCAGATCATGTACGTTGCTGCCCCACGTCTTGCTTGTAATTTATGTTTCCAACAAACTAAGCACCAAAATACTGTGATTCCATGATATTTACTGGTAAAAATATCCCAATCCATTCTATTTTGATTCAATTCGATATGATTAATTTTTATTTTTAAAATTAAATTTCAGATTAACTTAAATTATCTTAAAAATTTGCTGTTCCATTGGAGGCATATATAGATTTAATAATGACAATCTAACTGAAGACATCATAGGAAAACAAACAAACAAATGGGTGCACTTTTGTCTTTGTTTTTTGCTCGGATATGGTGCCACTGTCATGGCAGCTACTGCTCTGTTTTCTCCATCAATCTGGTCAAACACTCTTTCCAATCTGAAACCTTCTCTCCTCCATTGACAACCTATTTTTCACACAGTAGAGTTGTAGATATCAATTAACTAATTAATGGGAAGGAATATAAGACAAATGGCGAAGAGAAATCAAAAGATTATTCCATTGCTTTTCTTGCGCCTTTTGAACGGTACCACTTCACCTTGTTCAGATATTCTTTGTTCCCGTGTCAAGTCGGACACCATGCTGTTGAAAACTTCTCAGCATTTGAAAGAGCGGCTTATAGATGAATGACAAAAATGAAAAATGGAAGAGTGGCGTTAAACTTTTGACTAGAAAGTAGCAGTGGGATGAATTAGACGGAGAACAGTTTAATATTGCATGTGTGCCTTTTTTCCCCTCCTTAACAGATGCAGACATGATTATTCGCAGACCTCAAATGTGAATCTTGGCAGCATCCTCCATGCCGAGGCTTCCACTTCCTGCACAAACCTGTCATTGGTGGCTTTGGTGGGAATTGTTAGAATCTATTATGATGAATATGATTATTTTTGGTGCTCCCAAAGTCCGCAAACATTTATTCTGGTTTGTAGAATTCAAAGAATCAAGAATCAGGCTTCATTGAGTGATTGAAAAGAGCATCTGAGAAATATTTTAAAGTTTCTCTTCTTTTTGTTGGTCAGTAATAAGAGATGAATCCAGATACTATAATATTGACACAGTTGTCTTAATTTCAAGCATCGTCTCAAGTTTCTCAGAATTGCCTTCTTTCAGGAATAAGTCACAAGGAAAATGGGTTAAGCTACTAAAACAAACGGCCATGCTTTTTCATCCTTCGACTAAAGCTGTATATTGTTGCTCAGATTTCTAGTTAACTGCGACAAGGCTAAGGAGGATTACCATAATGTAAGTAGCATGCTTGGTCTTAAGACTAAAAGGCTAAAATGGTATACCTCTTCAAAGCTGAAACCTTGTGTTCCACCAGGAGTATTTTGCAACTTTCCTGCTCTAATTATGGTGTATCGAAATCCTGAAACCATCAGTAATGATTCATCTTTCTCAGCTAACTTTCTTTGATTGTTTGTCATGAGAGCTTGAATGCCACTGCCTAGCTCTGTAAAGTGTAAACAGACAGCTGCAACCTTTGTAAACCACAATCATGCAGAAACACAGTTTAAAGCCTTTCTTTTGCATGTGAGATCAGGGAAGAGAGAGAAAGAGTACTTGAGGCAAGAGAACTATATGTTCAACACCTTTAAAGCTCTCAACTCTTGATAAGAAACCTTTCTGCAAGACAAGGCAAAAGTTACAAAATTTTAATGGCAACCAGAGCAAAACAAACAATGCCAAAGCATTAGAACATAATGGATGCCAAAGCATTAGAAGATATATGAAGTTACCGCAACATAAGTTCCAGAGGCTTCATTAGCTGAGCGCTTATCCTTCGCCAATGCTTTTACTCAAGTTCGTTTGAAATCCGATGACAATGTCACCATCTACTTGAAGTGTCTCATAAGCTAAATTTTCATTCCGGTTAAGAGATTTGAATCTCAATAACTATAATCTGGAGTATGATATATAAGAAACGATAACTTGCCTGATCAATTTCACTATCCCCATCTGTTTATTAAAACTGCATCTCTGACTTCATCCTCTGGAAAATCAAATAATAATAGTTCATCAATTGTTCTTCCTCTCTAACAACTAAACATACCGATACGTCTTTCGAGTTTCCATAACAAATAACCTGGATAATCCTCCTCCTCCACATCTCCCGCGACAGATCCATCTTTTGGCAGTAGTTCAGCCTCATCAGGTGCCCCGTACAATTTCGAGTGTCATTATTTATAAAAGAATATAATGATAGATTTATTATTATAGTTTATTTTTAAAGGAAACTAAAATATTTTAAACTAAATTTTGTGGAGCTTGTTATGTTTTTCGGTGAAACAAACATTAAATTATTGTTTAGGAGGTCAAAATATATTGAATTAAAAATTTTGAGGTCCAATATTTGTCAATAATGATTAAACACCGAAGGTGACCGAAAACAATGATAAAAACCCGTGGGCGTTAGAGATTTTGACTTTAGGATAAAATTGATATTTTATCTAAAATTTAAAGGTTAAATCAATATTTATTTAAAATTTAATAATCAAAATCTAATTATTTTTATCAACTAATCAAATTAATCAGAGTTAACGTCTCAAAAATTAAAATGTAAACTTTTTTTAATTAATGACTAAAATAAAAATAAAAATAAAAATAAAACTAAAACAAAATGACCACATCCATGATCCATGGCTTACCCTTTTTATTGACCAGTGACCAGTCGTTTGATGGATAAGCGATAACAATGAACTTTCGGTAACCGAAATCCCATGTATATCCCTGTAGTAAAAAATCCAATCAGAACCGTTGGGATTCTTAAATATTGGATCTTTGCCGTCCAATCTTCCTATAAATCTGTCATATAACCTTACTCTTTTTCTAGGGTTTTTTATTCCAGTATTCTCTGCCTCTTTTGTTTGATCAACAATCTTGGTCAATTGGAGACCTAGATGAAAGCTTCTAAAATCCAACCCATGCTTTTTTTCATGCTTGACAAGATCCGGCCGTAACCGGAATATAGATGTCCAGTAGTTTAATTTTCTCGCATTTTTTAGCATCTTCTATTACTCCTCTCTTGCCCAATTGTGGTGGGTAAAGAGGATCTGAATGATGCTTATATTAAAGTTGGGAGTTTTTTAGTTCTCTCTGAACTTATTCATTCATAGTTCTTGGAGTTCGGGAACTCGTAAATTTCTTCAATGTAGATGTCTAGTAGTTTCATTTTCTCGCATTTTGTAGCATCGGGTATTACTCATCTCTTGCTCAATTATGGTGGGTAAAGAGTATCTGAATTCTGAATGATGCTTATATTAAATTTTGGAGTTTTTTAGTTCTCTCTGAACTTATTTATTCATAGTTCTTGGAGTTCGGGAACTCCTAAATTTCTTCATTTGGTTTTGATTCATCTGTTCGTTGTGTTCTCGAGAATCTTTTTAAAAGAAAAACTGATGCAATTACATTTATGGAAATTGGCTCGGGCTTAGGTTGCAACATACTCCACGTTGCATCAAGTTTAAGACGATGATTGCATCTGGGCGTTGCCAGTTTTTAATTTCTTCAAGGAATGTTTTCATTGTTTGTTGTTTATCAATTGATTTCTTATTTATTCTTGCATAAACTTGGGGTGAAATAATTGTTTATTCTCGGAGGATGTGGAATCCCTCACCCTGTGGACATCTTCGTTGTTTCTTACATTTTCTGGAAAATTGAGACATATGAGCTGGACATGACTCAGGAGATTTGAAATACATTCATTAATCTTTTTTAAGATATAAATATATCTGTATGGAGTACGCATAATTTTGGCACTAGGATATATCTTTTACTTACCCGTGTTCCACACACTCTGATTATTGATCCGGTGGAATCTCGGTGGATAAGCAAATTTGCTTATTCTGAAACTGTTGTCGACCAAATTCCACAAGAGGTGTAAAGAGTCGATATCTACAACATATACTACG